CCCCAAAACCCCAAAACCCCAAAACCCCAAAACCCCAAAACCCCGAACCAGAACTTACAAGTTGAAGAATTGATATAAAGAGGCAAATATATTCTTGGCCCATAGCTACTGGACCTGAGAGATTGCCAGAGGGCTTTAGGTAAGCACAGAGATATGAACATTAAGAAACCATATGATTTGAACATCATTTTTCCATATAAGGGAATTCATATCTGCTTAAATTATCTCTGACTTTCTCAGCAAATTTTAGAATTAGTTAAGGTAGGAAAAATTCAGAATTTTTATAAATTAATTTACAAAATGGAGAAAGTAAAACCTGCAAATATCTCTATCAACACGATAAAGGAGGTTTCCAAATCAAATATGTCTGTGAGAACTCACTCGCATCAGAAGTCAGGCAATAAATCAGTTAGCTTGTATGTCCTTGATTAACTCTCTTAGACCAATTATATTCTGAAGTCAATTTGCTTAAAATTTTTGATAACGAGTTAGGATTGTTAAAAACCTTGGTCTGAGAAATTACTACCTTATTCTTTGTATTATATTCTAAGCTATTTGGCCTACCAGTCTCTGAGATTGTAGAGCAGAATGATTTTAACTACTGCATCAGAATATGAATTTACTGTACTCTCAATAGCTTTTAAGGAGAAATGTTTTCAAATTATTTTCTTATGTATCCGATAAAAATTTCAATACATCGGCCAATATTAAAGACTCTAATGGTATAAAGCAATTTAATTTACTGAAAATTCATAAATTTTCCCACAAAATTTAACCAGAAAATTTTGTCTTAACATACCTGGTAGCCATGCAAGCAGTAAGAAAGGAAGTGCAATGAAGAAATTAGCAAGGTCATCTACAAAAGTAAGGGATTGCTGGAGCACCCAATTTTGTTGGCCTCCTTCTCTTACTAATAATCCTGACAAAATTAATATAGAGATATAAGCATAAAATAAGAAAGAGTATTTTATTTTGGTTTAATACCATCTAGGTGATCAGGAAGAAATTAAGGAGATAAAGAACGATAAGATGAAGTTCTTTTATAATCCATACAGGAAGGACACCAGTAAGCCCATTCCATGTAGACTCCATTACTTAATGTTTGCTCCCCTAGATGACACCAAATAAGCACATGGTGTTTGATCCTGAGAAGAAACAGAAGAAATCTCAGTGGAAGAAGTTGGGAACGATGATTCTTAAGAACAACAATTCGAAGCTGAAAAATACAATTTCGGAACTGAACAAATTTAAGGTATAACCTTTGCATTTTATGAACGCTAATATTTATGCTCTAAAACCTAATATAGGAGAAAAAGTCAAAATTGACATTGAAGAGCAAGGATTTCTCAGGGATTCATACTCGAAGTATCTCCAAACCAATCTGGGCTAAGAAGTTTTCTCACAAGAAGAGCTATATGAAGAGACTACATAGAGATTCTTTGGCAAGGAAGATTTTTAACATAAATTCTAAACTAATTGGAGTATCAATATGCTAATTCTTTTAGAGGAATAACTTTGCTCCCAGAAAGACAATGAATATGGGCCGGAGATGGAGCAAGATAAGCACTGTAAATCCCATCATGATAGAAGGCCTCTTCTCTAGAGATGAAGAGAGTTATAAATAAAAGCGACAAGTCTCTTAAAGAGCAAAATTCAGAATATGAAGCCAAACGACTAAAAACTGGAAGTTCCTTCTCTAATGTCTCTGGAGAGTTCAAAATAAACATCGGAGAAGCTTCTGTCCATAATGGTAAGATATTAATTAAAATTTAGAGGCTATAACTGACCATATCAATACCAAGGTAATGCACATGTGTAAATTTTAGGAAGAAGAAAAGAACTTAGACAATATCGAGGACAGTGGCACTACCTCGCTTACATCCTCCAATACAGATTCACTGACTGAGTCTAAAGTATCTGTTAACGAAGAATTCAAAACTAATTATGTGGAAAAGGAGTGGAGAGAGTCTGAAGATAATGCTAACCAAGAAGGTAATCTGAGCTTCCTACTCTATTTAGCTCAAGTCGAAATGATAGACACTAAGGAAGATGATGAGCAATCAGTAGATTTAAGGAAAAACGTAGAAAAAGGACAAATTGGCCTTCAAGCTCATCTTAACATACTTAAGAAGATGGTAATTTTTGTAATATATCTTTAGTTGAAAGAAGGGAAGAAGACGTTTAGAAAGCCTATGAAACAACTTGGATCAACCCACTCTTTGAGCAGGTCTTTCAATCGCTCTTACTCAAACATGAAGTACAAAGTAAAGAGTGTATATGCGGATTATTTCAAAGGGAGGAAGTTTTCTACCAGAAATAACAAAGGCAATAACAGTGCCAATAGAGTCAAGAGAATAAAGAAGAAAGGCACTAAGAAGAAACTAAATAAGAGAAGTGAAACAGTTGTAAATATCATGAAACAAGAATCAGGGAAATTTACAAAGCAGGACTCAGTACACTCATTTGATTATTTCAAGAGGCAATTCACTGTAGATAATTCGAGAATTTTCAATCCGATCCTCAAGTCTAAGGATATCGGAAACTCAATAGAGGGGTTTTCCAAATCAGGTATTTCTCTCAGATTCGAAGCTGGAACCTTATCTTCCAAAGAGCGTGAAGGATCGAGTGGAAATATTCACAAATCAATAAATGTTGAATGTCTTGACATTAACAAAAGAAATGTTCCCAAACGAGAGAGAACTTCCAGCTTTATGAACAAACTCCCTTTGATGGTTAGCAGCACTCTAAACTTTGAGAATGATATTGAAAAATCCAACTCCAAGAGAGATAACTTACTAGGAGTTTCTGAAAAATAGAAGAGAGACAGTGGCTGCTAATTACAATATCAAAGAAGAGCAGGGAAGGCCAAGTCTGATGATCCCTAAGGGAACCAGCTTATTATTAGTAAAACCAAGGCTTTCATTCTCTTCTCGTAAAAGAGGCAGTTTCAGAGTAGGGTCGTTTAATGCAGGCAATAATGATCTACAAATAACAGGAATAGCTCAGGCTGGGAGAAGAAGTTGTATAAGGAAACACAGCCAAAAGAGAAGAAGAAGTACTATTATGAATGAAAGCAAAAGAGCCAGTATTATCAGTTTCCATACGGATAACTCCCCATTGACGAGTATTGAAGATGAAGAGCAAGATATGGACGAGATTAATGAAGAAGATGAAAAAGAGGGTGCAAAAGAGGAAGAAGAGAAGCACCCTTAAAACCTATGAATCAAAGAAGTCGATCATAGAACCAACGGCTGCCAAATCTCATATAAATGTGACAAAACATTCAAAAGAGTCTAGAGCTGTTGTAAAGACTCCAAAAGAGCCAATTCATGGATCAACAGGTTTAAAATTGACTAAAGTTCTTAAAGCTCCAAAATCTCCAACAAAGATACATATAAACCCACTGGATGAGGGTGGCATTCAGATCTTTAAGAAAGGTGCTGACTCAGAGAAAACCAAAGGATCTCAGATATATAACTTCAAGGTAAATTTTATGGAATACTATGAGAAATATTTACAAGTGTCACAGTTTATTCTAAGCAGCTTGAAGCTATTGCATGCTATCTTTGTCTATATAGCAAGCAAAACCCACTCTAAAACAGCAATCTTCAAAAGCAGGAGATATTATAAGAGGTAACTCGTGTGTAAATTTGTAGACAAAATGATGTCCAGCAATAGTAAAGATATTCAAAAACCAAGTAATAAAACCTTGGTTCTTTCCCCTTGGAAGTCTAAAAGGTAAGCTATCCTCTGACTTGCAGAATCGATAAATTAGTGGCTGTCAAAAGAGCTTTGAAGAAGATACTATGTCAGAAGAAAACAGCAAGTTTGGCTAATCACCAAGATATTCAGCCGTACCAGGATATTCTCTGTAGCAAGGAGAGAACCCAAGAAATCAAGAAACCTTTGAATTTTAAATAAGGAAACTCTGTTTCAAAAAGTTGATAAGTACATTAAATAGCGACGAAATTGCATATCATCGAAGGAAAAAAGTGCCCTAGAAAGAAACTGAAACGCTTTGGTAGGAGACAGATCAAATCTCCACATCAGAGAAGAGTCGAACCACAACTTTTCGATGTAAGAATCCGGAAACAACTGCAAGAGAATGGCTCAAGGAATAGAAACTTTTGGGATGAGTTTAAATCTCCACAAAATATTAGGTCACTGGATAATACGAATTTGGGACCAAATAAGTTCTTAAGCCAAAAGAAAATGAATAGTTTCAAACTGATGAATACTTTAAACGATGGTTTTCCAGTAGGGACTCAAGGATCTTTTTCACCAAAGGTTTTTCTTTCTCATCATTTTTATGCATGATCCCCAAAAATTAAAGGGAGAGCAACTTCTCCTGTTTCAAAAAGATTGGTATGAAATGAATTAATTTTCTAGAATATGCATGTGTCAAAGAAATTTCCATTTACCTCTGACAAAGCATTCTCAACAGGTATTTCTTAAATTTTCACTCATAGTTATGAAAACACCTCCTCTAACCACCAAAAATATTCCCAAGTACCATATCCGAAATCGAATTCTAAATGTTCAAAAACCATCCAAAGCACCTAAAAAGTCCAACCAAATCTATTTTCCACAAAAATTCAAACCCATATCCATTCCTCTTCCAGATAAACCTGAAAGGCGTTTAAAATTATCCAAAGCCCCTAAAATAACCTTCTTCTAACAAAACTCTCATAAAACTCCTCTAAAATCTTTCTAAACATCTATTTTCCAAACTTCAGTGATCTAAATTCCCTTTGGGGTTTTGGGGTTTTGGGGTTTTGGGGTTTTGGGG